ATATATAAGATGTATTTAATGTGATATTTTGGGGACTAAGCAGCCTAAAGTACTGTGTGAAGAGTTTTCATATTTCATGTTTAAGACCTCACTAGCCATCAAACCACATCAAACACTATTTAAATATAAATATATAAATATATGAATACATAAATAGCTATTACAATATATTCAAACTGTTTTCTTGTAATACTTAGTATTCAGGATGCCAGCGAAGAACCACCTCAGGTACAAATTTGTTTTATCATATAATGTAATTTGTACCATTCACATAAAATGTAACCAAAATGAACAAGTCAAATGAAGATTGTTCACAAAACCGATCCTATATAAAATGAAATAATCCCTACTTTATGGTAAGACTCTGCTGCTCCAATAATAAGGCTGATGTTCTGTTCCCAAAATTAGATCAATAATACATAAATATATTTTCCTCCTTGATTAAACAGGCAAACTGCACATCAGGATATGGATGGCAGTATTTGTTGGCCTTGAAAGAGGTTTTTTTTTAGATGTCATGAGATATATAAAATCCAGACCCACTGAAAACTTTTTAAATCTGCCAAAGAAAAGAAAACCAAGCAGCTGTCTGCTTTTCCATCACAGGTGCAGGAGCTTGACAAAAAAAGTGCAAATATACACTAATAACTTTTTGACAGATTAATGAATAACTCAATGTACAAATACTTTAGATTTTTCATTTCAGCAATATTCAAGCAGGTTTTTCTCATAGATTGGTGAATCTATCGTAAGAAGGTATTAAGAAGTGAAGAAAAATCAATGTGAAAAGTAGCATTTTTCTTCTAAAGTATTATAACCTCATCTCTATGGAGACGTACGGTGAGTTGTAGCTCAGAGAGCAACCACCTGTCAGTCAGAGGCATGTTTGGCCTTCTAACTGTGAATATCTCACTAAAAGCAGGAAGCATTTAGAATCAAATAATAATTTTGGTCAAATATAATGATTTAAAGCAGGAAAAAAAGACAAACCTTTTAAAATAGTGTCCTTGGATCAATCTTGGAGCCGCAAACCAATCAGCATTTCTGTCTCTGAAATGCTCATATTATTGAAACAGTTTTGAACCTCTGAATGAGTATTGACAAACAAAAACTGACTCTTTAGGTGTTTAATCAAAGTTAAAAAAAGTCTTTATGATGGTGGTGATCCTCAGCTGCCTTGTTTCTCTTTCTCTCTTCAGCGTTGAGCATGACTTTCGTCTACAAGAAGGTCAGGTGGTGCGCACATGGAAGGTGGGCGACCCTCCCGAGGGCTCGCCGCAGACCCCCACCCCCCAGGCTGCAACGCCGCACCAACAAGACTCACCACAACTAGTGCGGACCCCTGCTGCCACCGCTGCCGCAGCCGCAGCCAAGAAGAACCGGAAGAAATGCTTCTGGTTCCTCTGAGCGCCGGGGGTGATGGAGAAAGAGACATGATACTGTAATGCACCTCACCTCACATGCTCATTTAAAAAGATGGCAACGCTTGACTTTTGGGACTTTGGTTGGAAGAAAAAAATGATTAAAATGCAAATACTAAACTGTAGGAGGAGGATAAGTGACAAAGCTTATGTTTAATTTTATTTTTTTTCTACCTGCTTCTGCTGGAATTGATGAGAAAGGTTTTAACAAGGCTGCACATGTTGTTCCTGTTGTTTTTAAATGCCTCTTCAGCGCTTACAGATTTGATACAGGTGCAGAGGAGTAAAAAGTGCTGAAGTCAAGTAAAAGCAAAAAAGTTTAGTCGATGTTGTAACTAGCAGTTACAGAGCAATTAGGATATATATANTATATATATACTGTCAAGGGACACAGAATGAGAGGGAAGGCAGCAAATATGATAGAGCATATTTTTAAAGGTTAAACTCAAAGAATATATGAATAGAGAGAAAAGAGAAACAGAAATTTATTGATCCCCATTAATGGACTAATGAGGGTCAGAACACCATCTTTTATTTCTTAAGACAATTAAAATAAAAAGAACTATAATGACCCAATTAAAACATTTTATTATACTGTATTTGATGAAACCACTATGTGTGTCTACAGATACATACTGCACACACACACACTTGCACACACACACACACACACACGCACACATGAACAAATAAACCAACATATTTACACAAAGAGCATTGTGTTAAAAGAAAGCAAAAAACGGTGAACTGAGTTCTGTACATTTCAGAGCTGTTCTGCTTGGATGCTTTATTTCAGATATGGATTATTGCTCTATAAAAAAGTATTTTACCACAGATGCCTGGTGTGTGTTTTGTCCTTTAACATTATTTGCATTAACTTAGTACCTTTATTAGTAAAAATAAAAGGATATCCAAATATAACTAAATGATGGGTTCAGGTTGTGTCAAAATCATTTTCATGGAGGGCCACATGAGCATTATGTTCGTCTTTAAAGGGACAGTTGTAATAAATGTTAAATGTTTAAATTAACTAGGGTTACTAGGGTTTTATCTACATTAACTAGGGTTACATTATTAAATGTTTTGGTTTAACTTCAACTAAACATCACCTTTTTCATCTCATTGCTATGTCTGAGCACTGCAAACAAACAATAATGGAGCTCTGTGTGGTGTTTTATGCATAGAAACAGTGTTTTAATGCATCATCCTGTAAACACTGCAAAATACTACGTGTGCGACTGATTAAATGCAAAAAAAATTGCAAAATAAATAATACAGAAATACTATTAAAAGTAAATGTAAGAGAGTTTTATTCACTGGTAACATATAGTGAGTGGCTGCCATCTTAAATTCTGAACTGGAAATTCCAACTGAAGCTTTCCAGTTTAAATTTACAACCAGCATGACTGATAGCTGGTGAAATTGCAGTGAAATTAAGATTTTACACAGTTATATTTTACCAATTGCTGGTAATTGGCTACTTTGTAACCCCATGCATCTTCACTTAGTAGTGGGCTATGCCATAATTTCAAAGGAAAAATAATTGACATGCAATAAGGGATATGCAGTTTATCATCAAAAGGCTTAGCAGCATACATTTATTTTAAAACATTATTACATCTTTAAACATCTCACAAGCCGCATAACATGCGGTATAGTGAGACATATTTTGCTCACGGGCCTTCATTTTGACACATGTGCTCTAAAGTGTCCCTGAATCAGGTGGTGAATGGGAGAAGAACCTGTCCAGATGACCTGTTCAACTGTTTTTTTTTTCATCAGGGCATGGTGGATGGTTGTTTGTTTCTACATTCCTGTGATGAACTTGTGACCTGTCCACTACTGGAGATAGGCACTAAAGACCAGAAAGGAAAAAGCCCCAACATGGCATAGCTTTTTTATAACAAACAGTGTAGAGAAATGCTAGAAATGCTTCTAAGTACTGACTCCAAAACACATTTGGCCTCAGTAGTCTCCTATATAAAAAGCATTGACCTCTCTTGTAAAAGTCAGTACTTTTTTCTGAGGGTTATACGACCTCATTAGCTAGATTCACTCCTTCTGATCCCTCTGAAAAAATGAAGCTAGTTGCCTCAAAGGGACATATATGAGTTTAATAAGGTTATTCTACAGCTGAAACTTTTGGTTCAAACAAAGGTTAATTCTGACTTCAAAAGAAGCAAGTGTTGATGACCAAACTTAAGACTCCTTAACATCAGATACCAAACCAGTAGTTGGCTTCATAAAAGTTTTATCAAATGGGAAAAAGAACAAAAAAAAGTTCACAAAAAATTAATAAAAAACTGAAATAAATCAAAAGAAAACACTTTTTTTCCAAGGAAAATAACAAAACTGCTCAGTCCTCAGATGACAAAACCTGAGCGAGTGCTTTTAATCAAACACCAATATAACAAAAGAAATGGAATCGGCAAAAGCTTTTGATTTCACGTAAATAATGACTGCTTTCATTCTGTGCAAAAACCATGCATTTGCTTCATCTCTCCAACATTTGATTTTCTTTGCTGTTCATGTAAAAAGAAGCCACCAGACTCCTCTAAGAATTCACCAAGTTTTGACTGTTTAAATTAAACTACAGAAGCTTAAACAAGAACATCATCAAATCGTTTTTTGTTTTGTTGTGAATTTGGCAAAGGATTAAATAAGGTTTTAATATTATTTTTACATCCTACTGTAATGATATGACAAAGAAGAAAACCCCAAGATGAGCTGCAGGTGTTTAGAAACAAGATTTAAATTGATTAATGAAACATTTTTTTACATACGTGGTTGGAATATTCATTTAAAAATCAATGTCAGTACAATTGAATCAATGATTGATTAATGCTTTTTATTCCTTACATTGCATTCCAGCAGTTTTATGTTCAACCTCAGGAACTACTTTATTCTTTTAATGTGTTGATTAGGAAAACCCAGAAACCAGTTTTAGCACACAAGAGGGTAAAAGAATAATCTTTGTATTGAATAATGACAAAAACGTGCTTCACTAGCAGGGAATTCAAGGTGAAAACTGAATTTAAAAAACTGATTAAATGAAAGTACAACTCTGTATGGACTAGTTTCTAATGAGGAGCAACGGAAAACCTGAAACTAAAGCAGATAAATGACCCCCAACAGGTGTGACAACTGAGCACACGGGACCTGTGTGGAGGAAATTAGAGAGCAAGACTGAAGCTCTGCCAAATGACTCTCTTCCAAAAAAAAATGTCATGGAAGAAAAAAAAATCATGAAAAATTTGGTCATGAGCCTTGAGTCAGCCATCTGGTCATTTAGTGTGACAGGGTCGCTGACAGATGATTTAACACATGCACGACCAAGGATGACCTATGACAAATACTGAGCAGAGACAGAAATAATGCACAGGTGCTCCCTTTTCCTGATCCCACACCTCAGAACAGCGGTGAAAGAGGGGCTTGTGGAGTTACAATAAGGAGAAATTCAGACAAAGCATTGCAGTTCCACTTTATATCGACCCCAACTGAATGTTTTAAAAACATTATATGCCTCCTTTAACCCGCTAACTGAAGCCTGTGCAGTCTTAGGCTACGTTCACACTGCAGGTCTTAATGCTCAATTCTGATTTTTAGAAAAAAAATCCAATCTTTTGGTGTGAATGTTCACATTACATTTTTAATGTGACCTCCATCAGACTCCTGTGTGAACGCTCCACAGCACTGATGTGACGTGCATGCGCAGAAAAAGACGTAACTTCTCATTCAGCCAGCTTGTTTGTTCACAGAGTTAGCATCAATGCTATTTTTAGCATGTCAAATCCGAAGTTGTTGTTCAATCAGAGCTGATTAAACAATTGTCTGACATACTTGTTCAGTTCAATGTTTATATCTGAACCTGCCTCTGACCGGATGCTCCGGTGAAGCTTTTTATTTTTGGAATGAAGCAACGAGCTGGAAATAAAGTATCGACTGAGTAACTTTAGGATCGAAACGCTCCGTGACCCAAGCTGGACGTTACTATCTACATGGAAAATTAAAATAAAAATAAAAAAAACGAAGCAATTGGACTTCTGTTTTGGAGCTGTAAACACATGGAGCTAAACAGCGTGACTTGAAGTTAGTGTCTTATCGATCCTTCGCCCCCACTTCACTGATGAAAAATTCAGATGGAATGTGATATGAGCGTTCACACTGCAGTCACTTTGAAAATATCAGATATGTATCCGATTTAGAACCACATATTCAAACGGCCTGGGTCGGATTTGAAAAAATCGGATTTGTCATGTTCAGACTGTCATAAAAAATCAGATATGGGTCGCATGGGGCAAAAAAATTCAGATTTGGATCACATTTGCCGGCAGTGTGAACGTAGCCTTAGATGAAGCTCTTGGGTTTTTTGCAGTTCCTTTGAGCACTGCCCAGTGTGACATTGGGGTGAACTTGTCCCCTCCTAGAAAGATATTGCGAATATTTTTTTTCACACTGTCAAATAATATTTTGGGTGATCCACTTTATTTGGAAATCACTTCCTGATGGACTGTTGCTCCACCAAGGTCATAAGTGATGTATTTTCCCTCAACATTGTGTGAACACATCTGTATGCTCCAGGGCAGCACACTGACAAAACGCCTGCTTTTTAAGTGACAATCACTGATGATGATCAGTTACTCAAAAGTGTTTTATTGGCAGCACCTGGTCACTGTTTCCCCCCCTAAACCCTATAAAATTTAAAAAGTGCACTTAAGTTTTTCACACCCAGCATTTTGACTTCATTTTGTTAAATAAATGATGACATGGTGAAATATGCTGTGCCTTTTTATATCCTGAATAATTTGAGAACCTGGTAAAAAACGCATTTTTAATAAGTGCTGTGAATCGAAAGTGGGTGGACTTTTTTTTCTCCCCATGACTGTTTGCCTGTTTATGACAACAATAATAATAAACCAACCTGATTTTACGCCAGACTATGCAACAAGTATGCTGATCCAAGGTGAAAAAAGTGGGAGTTTCTGTGATGTCACTTCACACAAAACAACCTACTGGGAAAACATTGCTGTCTGTTTTTTTTTTTTTTTTTGTTTTTTTTGTCTTTTTTAAAAACTAATTGTTACACTGTGCTTTTTGGTGAGGTACAGAAATGTCCCTGATGCTTTTGAGTAAACTGAACTCAACATTTTAAAAACAAGCTAGTATTTGATCATCCCTAAAGAACAAACCTGAACTAATGTCAGCTAATTTCCTGAATAAACTTTAAAAAAATCATAACAATATGCAACCAAAAGCAGCTTTTTATTCCTCAGATGGTGGCTCAGACAGCCCACTTTTGTGGACACTCCAGGGCAAGTCTCAGGAAATTAAGCCTCAGCTGTTTGATGGCAGTGAGAAGCCCCAAATATTACTACTTAGTAATTCATGACACACATAAGCTGCTTCTGTGAGGCTCTGAGGTGGGATGAAATCTTGGCCTAATTTCATCCGAAAGTTGCAAAGTGTTTGCCTTCAGTTTGTTTGCCTGCTTGTCGAGCAACTGCCAGTTTCATCTTCGCCTCAAACAAAACACTTGGAAACAGAAACAATGTTGTTTATTTATTTATTTATTTGTTTATTTATTTATTTATTGTTGGGAAAGAGTTATGAGATGGTTACAAGCAGTCATTTCAAGAAGCAGTGAAAGATCCTCTGGACTTGTAACACCATCTCTTTTTTTATTTTCGTGGATGCACAAGAGCAACAACGGCTCAAGCAACAAGAGATCCCAAGTTCTTTGTTTTTTTTGTTAACAATTTAACTCTAACCTGCTGTGCTGCATTGAGGTGTGGAGGTTGAAAAGCCTTTTGCGGCTTTAAAATAGGCAACACATT